CGCCGCCCCCTTCATCACCTCGTGCCCCGAGGGCTCAAACCTCGCCATCCAAGCCTTCCCCGCTCTGACGATGACGTCCCCTGCCGCGCCCGCTGCCGTCGCCATTGGCTCCACCATCCAGCTCCAGGCCGACACAACGGCCCAGCCCGTCGCTTGCGGTTTCACCTCGGGCGGAGTCTCCCCCGGCGGTACCGCCTTCACCGCTTTCAACCCCCAGACGGGCTGCGAGGTGCCCCAGGGCTTGGCCGGTGTGACCTACGTGACGCTCACCAGCTCTGCCCCCATCAACGGCGCCTTGACCGACGACATCACCCTGGCTGGCCCCATGGTGTTGACCATCTCCTAGTCGGTCTCGGCACAAGGACGGCGGATCGGGTGGCTGGAGAATAGAGAACATATGAAGGATGTACTTCTCATGAGAGGAAAGAAATAGAGGGACCTAATACGTTCGAAGATAGTCCAAGCCAACTCGACAAAAAATCTCGTCCACTCTATTCCTCTTCCTCTCCGTCGACTTCTTTTCTCCTCTTTCGCCACCTCACGCCGGACTATATGGGCGGGCGTGTTATTTCTTTTCTTCACTACAGGCCGGGGAAGACCGGCTTCGAAAAGGGGTCACCTCTAATCTCGGCACGGCACGGGGACCCTCCTTCTCCTTTCCCTTTTCTTTAACACTTGTCAAGAAAGTTTCTCTTTATTGTTGCAGATACCTACAGAGCACGCAAGAAGGTGCCGTTGCATGGCAGTGGTCGTGGTCGGGGTGCGGGTGGAGGAAAATAGGGGCAATGTCTCATGATACCATTTTGTCTTGACAATGAATCCATGCGGAAGCAAAATCACATGACGTGGATTACCACAACCTTTCGTGCTAAACTGCTATTTCGTGAGTCTTGACAGAAGGAAACTGACAGCTCGCCCTAGTTGACACTGGCAACGCAGCCTACGCCTCATCGCCGAAGTTGATTCCATCAGGCAGATGATCACTGGCAGCGTCTCCGCGATCAATGCGGCCTTCGCGTCCTTCTCATGGCCTCTTGCCCTCGTCTTCTAGGATTACTTTCCCGAATGTAGCGCAACTTAGTATCAGCCCCCATAAGACTTCTCTACAGCGACCCAAATGGCCCATAAATGTGAGGCATGTAAAAGACCCTCGATAAATCAACGCGTGTTTCATGTGCGTTTATGCGAGGACCAAACCAGCCCGATGAATAATCAACGAGTGAGAGCATTCGTTTGAAGCTGATAATAGCCGTGAAACCGGTTCCGGCCTTGACCATCGATAACCCTTGAAAATCAGAGGATGTTGCGCAATCACCATTTTCGGACGTCTCGAATAGTGAAGATAGCTAACGACGACCTGTCCTGCCTGTCTCTGGGCTCAGCAGACCCTCGCCGCCCTCAGCTGACACAGCTCGAGCGACTTGCCTCTGCCCGTGCAAGGCTTCCCCCGACACTCCTTGTCCTCGCGGGGTCTCGTGCCGGTGGCCGAAGACTGTGACGCGGATAGAGGCGGCGTAGCGCGCCGCGAGCTAGGCGATCGACCGGTTCGAGTCCCGATGCATCTGGCGCCGGTAGAGCTGGTAGTCGAGCTTGTAGTAAATTTCTGCGATGAGCAACAGGATCTGCAGGTTGCCTGCGCAGCGCAGAACCGAGTAGCTGCCTGCGCGCCGCATCGAAGCTGCCGCATCGCTACCAGGCAGTGTGCCGTGCTCGTTGCCACGGCGTCGTCCATCCAGCTGGCCGGGATGAATTTGGAGGTGAACGGCAGCACTAGGTCAGCTGGGTGTATCTCGTAGTTTGGCAACGACGGGGTAGATGTGCAGGAGGTAGCCTCCCTGTCGTGTATCGTCGTGACTGGCTTGTTAGTGTGTGCATCCTGCCAAAAGGAGAGGTTGAGCTGAGAAGGGACATGGCAGCAGACGTATTCGGTGCGATGTTGTGTTCCTTCGACGAAGCATTCAGCGTCAGCCTTTAGATAGTCCGGTAACATTATTCTCTTGAGCGCCTCGGGCGCGCCGCACCTCCAGCGCCAAAAAAAAAAAAGAAAAAAGAAAAAAAAAAGAACCCTCCGGCCATCTTCTCGCAAGCAACACGGAAAAAGCAAGAAGCGCACCAGCAACATAATGGTTTCGCACACTTTTCTGTGATGTGCACGACCTTTAACGGCGTCTGACAAGGGCAATGATTGACTAGCCGGGCCTGTGACATACCGGTCGACGTGAAATCAGGCCGGGGGCACCATCCGTTGATAGTATCCGTTTGGCGGCTTCGTTGTGGCGGTTCGATGCTGCCATGCCATTTGAACTGTTAGATGGCGAGCGCGGTGGAACAAGGCTCGAGGCGACGGCAGCTGGGTGCGCATGAGACATCTGCGCGATACACGACGACTCTGCATACGCCTGCACGGCAGTCACGCAGCTTGCTGTTACAAGAAACTGAATTCGATAGACCTACTCGCGGCAACTATAGGAGAAAACAAGAGAACACGATGCATCGGTGCCCTGGAGCGTTTCTATCGAACCCGGAGAATACCTACAATGCAGACACCCGGCACGACTCGACGCGACTCGGAAGCCTGAACGCGCTGTCGCC